AGGAGCAGCAGGAGCAGCAGCAGGAGCAGGAGGAGCAGGAGGAGCAGGAGGAGCAGGAGGAGCAGGAGGAGCAGGAGGAGCAGGAGGAGCAGGAGGAGCAGGAGGAGCAGAAGGAGCAGGAGGAGCAGGAGGAGCAGGAGGAGGAACAACAGTAGTAGGAGTGGTGGTCCTGGCAGCATGCAGCAAACTCTACAACATCATTGACATTTACACCACGCGCCTGTTAAAGATGTGCGACTAGTGTATGGCGGGCGAGAGGCTGTCCCTTGTTTTTCGTTGCTTTCACAGCCACCGCATTGTGCTTTCATGTTCTGGCGACATGAGGAATGAACATCGAAGACCACAGCCTCTCCAAGGGCTACATCCCGGCCCTGTGTGCTCGGTAGCAGCTTCTGCGTGCGATGCTGGCTGTCCAGGCCGACATATCGATGCAGTCTCTTCAGTTGCTTGATTGTTCATGAGGTGCTGCCTTCGATCCTGTTGTAGCCGGTGGACTCTGGGATGAAATGGGGCAGACGCTCGTTGACGAGGACACAGGACTCTGACTGTTTTGCAGAAGCAGAGTCGAGGTGTCGACTAGAAACTGTTGGCGCAGGCTGGGCACGGCTTGATGTGATCTTTTCGAGACGGGAGCACCGGCAGCTACGCTTGGGCTAGCAGAGAATGGCAGCTTCGAGAAGATTTCTCCCGGAGCGCTGCGAAGCCGCGCGTGTCCCTGTACTTCCGGCGGTGGTCATGGACTTGTGGATGACGTGAGGGAGTGAGCTCGCAGTGCTAGAGCCTCTGCAGTGCAGAAGGGCGTCTCCAAGTTGACGTCGCGGCGACCGCGGACTGCCTGCTCTTACGAGACGGCTGCGACAGCCAGCAGGCGACAGAACAAACTTCGGACTCTGCTTGCATACTGTGTTTGAGCTCGTCCTTGCTTCTCTTATTATCGCAGCTTATTTCAGCCTCCAGAGTAACCCCTCCATGCACCTCTAGATGCTCTTGTATACTTCTGGCCAGTTTCTGACATCCTCGGTTCTCAAAGCTCTCAGATGCATGATCAGCCCTTTCAGACATGCTGAAGCTGCCGAGGACCCCATATTTCAAACTACAGGATTGGAGCCCTGCTATGGCGGCTCTGTGGCATGCAGTGCCTGCGAGGCCGGTAGCTTTGGCATCGTCACCGTGGCAAAGCCGTGCTTTACAGATGTCCTGCTTCTGTTCGACTGGCTTTGAGGGACTGCAATCTCCCTTGTAAAGAACATGGTGTGATAACAGCTGGGTGAAATTCCCAATGCTGTAGGTTTGTTTGGACTCATGATAGAGTAGGTGCACCAAGATGTGCGTGTTGAAGTGTTGATGTAGTGTAGAGTTGACGTGCAAGCCATGGATGCAAATGCACCGTCGACAGGGAGGAATGATAGCCGCTCGGATCTTATGTTTCTTTTTTTGTCGGGTTCGTCCATCTCAGCCAAAAATTTCGGCACGGCTGCTTACTGCAATGGTGTTCCGAGCGAGGGTGTTGGAGCTCGAGGGTTCGAGAGAGTTTGGACACCTTGGTACGCATGCGTAAGTGGGCATCAAACTGCTAAGCCTTCCCGAAGATTCAACCTTTGAAGCTGTCGAGCTGGACTACTGTAGCTGCTTCGAACTCAACTTCAGCCGGGTAGGCGGTCGATCGGCTCAATTTTTGCAGTTTGGTGTTTGAACGGTTCGAAACTGTCGAGTGTGAGAGTTCGGAAGTGTCTAATCTAGGTTTAGCCTTCGAAAATTCAATGTTTTCGAGTTGGAAAGGTTTGCTCCAAATTTGGCTTGTGGCTCGCCGTTGAGGTCGACAGTTTGACAGTGCGAACGTTTCGAACTTGGAAAGGTTGGGAGTTCCAGAGTTTGAAAGTTTGTGCGATTGGTATTTCGAAGGCATGAAATTTCGAACGTTTGAAAGGTCTGGCACGAGGTGTGGAGTGTGCTTGTTACTCACAGTCGGCTTGCACAGGCATATGCTCGTAAGACGGTTCGAGGCGATTGAAGTATTCTGAAATCCGCCCCTCATGGCGGTTGATCACATGTCTGAATCTCGTCCCCCTCCTTAAACACATGTCGCAAGAACCCTCATTAGGCGATAGCAGTAGGTGACGTTTCTTAAACTCGCTCCCTCATCAGACGAACGAAGACGGTTGATTACACATCGTAGACCTTGCCCCTCGTTTCCCGATGGTCGGTAGTTGAATTTCCTAAACCCGCCCCTCCCCCCCCCAGGCGATTTTGGCTTATCACATGTCTCTGATGCGCTCCCTCATCATTCTCATATCCGCCCTCTCATTGGGCGATGGGGGTTGCTGACACCCTCTGTTTATATTGTCATGAATGCAGGGATCAGGTTTCGGAGGCCAAAGCCACATGTGAAAGGGGCCTGGGTAGTTAGGGAAGCTACACTTTCGAACCACCCCGCTAAGGTACATCCACCGAAGATTCTAAACCCCAATTCCCACAGTCAAGACATAGGCCCTGAACGCTAGATGACACGACACGTCAAACTCACAACCACTTCGTGTTCCAAAGTTGCAAACCCTGAAACTGTAAAGCATTCGAACTGACAAGCTTCGTGCCTTTCAAGCTTTCTACTCTTCGAAAATTGAAAAGTTGAGTCAACCTTTCAACCACTGATCTTTTCAGACCTCGAATTTTAACGCGCTTTTCCATTAGATTCCTCAAACTTTTAAACTCCAACTTTTCAAATGTTGAAACTCGAGCATGGGGGGTGCCGCATGGACCCATCCGCGTCCTCCAGCCCGCGTCCGTCGCACGGCACGCGTTGTCGCGGTTTCAAGCTTTGAAAATGAGTACTTCAACATCGGAGCCTGTTTTCAACAGTTGAGCTTTCGAGCTGCAAACTCTTCATTCTGCAATTCGTTCAAACTGTCAATCTCCCTAATCTCGCCCTCCATCTGATCATCTGATACGTTCAAACTTTCAATGAATACAGTTCGAAAACCCCTACTCGTGAGAGACATCTGACAGTCGCAGCTCAGGTAGGGCGATCCGCCGCAACTTCCAGCTAATGACTTGGACCTTCAGTTTGAATCATGCAACTGTGACGACGCTGATGATGTATGCAAGCTCGGCCGCGGGCTAAGTTCGCCTGATGCGATTAAGCATGCCCCGAGCGGACTCTTTGTAGAGAGGTCCTGGGCCACTCCACGGGAAACCTCTCGAACTCCTTGCTCTTCGCGGCTTGCTTCCCGGATCCGTGTCCTCTTGGCTCTGGCCTTGGCTGAGCCGAGCAGAGCTTCAGCGCCGAGGTGAGCCTCGTTGCCTCCCTGGGTCTGGCCCCGGTGATTGCCAGCACCTTCGGGCCGACGAGAGGCGCGAGCTTGGCTTGCCTCTCGCGGGCTTTGGCTTCCGGTGTGCAGGTCTTCTAATCGGCCTCGTCGGTTGCAGTGCCTACGTGCTCTTCTTCGTTCTGGCCGCTTTTCTCTGTACTTGGGAGCGTGGGCAGCCAGGACATGCAGGAGGTGGCCTGCCCCTTGCTCTTCACCTTGCTGCCCAGCCGCCAAGTGCTGTGCTGTTAGGCTGTGGCTGTGACAGCAACACGCCGAGGAGCCTTGTTTTCGAAGCTCGGCAGTTCAGCGCAGGCAGCTCCCTTTCTCTCGGCCTCGTTTCAAGGTCGGCGCGGCCTTGGGCGGGCTGGGGGCTGGCATCCTTTGGCCCAGCCAAGGGGCCTTCTTCTCTGCAGCGGCCGGGGCCCTTTGGAATTCAGGGTGGCCCGGGGCCTGGTGATTTCTGCGAGGTGGCTCGCCTCGCCGACGAAGAGGAACCAGGGCAAGTCGGAACCATGGAGGCTACTCCGGCACCTCGGGGCACCTGTCGTGTCACATGGAGAACATCGCCAGGACTCCGAGGCCTCTACGTGCCGTCTGACCAGCGAGTTGTCGTCTGCCTTTGCCTTCGCTCTGATGGTGTCAGACGCCCGCCCTGGAAACCAGTCTGAGCTTCATTGCTTCTAGTTTCACACCGGCCTGAATCTCCAAGGAGTGCAGCACCAAACTGCTCCTCGCAGTCCCTTAGCTCACGATGTCCAGTCAAGCGGAAATAGTTTTAGCCACTTCAACTTGACGAAGTGTACCCTCGCAGATCTTGGATTTTCGTTGGCCCAGGTCTGGCTCAGCTATGTGCTACTTTTCTGCAACGGCTGCGGTCGTAGAGGGTCGCAGCAAAGAGTGCGAAGAACCACTCCTGCACTCTAAGGAGGGTGGAGGTCTGGTCGTCCTGGGTCTTCCTTTCGGCACTGATCGTCGCATTGCTGGAAGCCTGACTGCGAACAACGGCGTGAAGTCTGCTAAGTGATGCCCACCGTACGAACATCGTACAAGTGTGTTGCAGACTTCCTCACCCAGACAGACTGCGAGGCCGTGGCCGTCTTCGCCGCCCTCGCCGAGCGCATGGACGCTTGTCCTGGGACCGCTGCGAGGACTCGCCTGGATGCCGGGATGCATCCAGAAATCATCCAGCCACCTGCGTGCACATGGATGAGGCCGATCTGCGAGAGGACGCTGACAGGGCTGCAGCTTTGGGGGGATCCCAAGCTCTGGCTTCTCGGAGCAGTTGTGAGCCGAGGGGCGTCCAGTTCTCGTCCCGCGCCTTGCTCAGGCTGTTGTCCATGACAAACTTCGCCTTCGGCGGCTTGGTGATGGTGACCGTGCCTGTCCTTGTGCAAAGGCTTTGCAATTGCAGCCGAGGTTTCTCCGTCCTGTGCTGAGTTCGGCGCCAGAAGCCCAGTTCTTACAATTCGCCGGCACATTGCAGGTTGCTTGGGTCAATGGCGTGGTGAACACGCGCTGGCACGAGGCACCAGGATGCATTAACAGTTTCTCTTGTGCGGTGCATCGAAAACCTTGAGGCAACAGGGGATCTACATTTGCTTGGCTACGCTGGTGCTCTCACAACCGGTGTTGCTGGAGCCCCTCGTCCAGGATTCATGCTGCCACCTGCCAGAAATGCACTGTATTCCGAAATTCTCAGGTTATATCGAAGCTTTCCGTTGGGCCGGCTGCTTGCGGCAAAGGCACGCCCTACAGTGTCTTACTTGAGATTGATCCTTGCCGCAAATGTTCACTCCAGGTTATGTCCTCGCCCTGGGATCTCTCTGCTTCTTGATCATTGGCTTGCTGAGTAGCTAGCTGCAAAGGGAGTTCGGAACACAGCGAGAGGGTCTGCGCAGGAGCATGTTTTCGACGACCCATAGTGACTGCAGTGAAGTCTTCTCTAAGTGCTATGAGCTGGTTCCGTCCAGAACTGTCTTCAGATAAAGCTCTTTTGGACAATGGGCGAATTCAGCCAGACCCAAGGCAAGACTCGCGAGCCAACCGACAGTTTTGGCTGGAGTCACTTGGCTCGGCATCAAACCTGATGGCCAGAACAGCAGGAGGGTTCCCACGTCGCCACGAGCCTTGAACAGAGGTGCTTGGCTCCTGCTAATCCATGTCCTGCATGGCGTTGGTCGAGGACGACTGCTCAGAACTTTTTGCACACCTCTTCATTCCCTCACGTGCTGCCCTGCCTCCAGCGAGGAGTCTATGAAGGAACCAACAAGGCAACACGGCTTTAAGCTCTGCAGCTGTGTGTTTAGAGAGACGTCTGCCGCAGGGAATCTTCGGCGACTTCTTCGGTGATGACAGGAGCGTCGGTGCCTTCTCCAATGTGCTTGCGGTGGGCTTAATTGCTTGCAAGTGGTCACAGCTCGACTCTCACGACGATGTGCAAACGCAAGGTCCAAGTCTCTGCGTCCTCGATTGTTGGGTATTCATTGGCATCAACTAGCTGGAAGGCAGGGCATCTGCGGTGTCATGTGAGCTCCATGAAGGAAGATGTCATGTGTCCTTGAACATGTCAGGACGTTGTGCAGCTGGGCAGCATCTGTTCTCGCTTCCCAAAACCTGTGATTCCTCCAGCGACAGGTACGGCCTTCTGATGATCTCTGCTTCTTTGATGCTGCCATTATATGTGTTGGCCGGTCGGTTGAGATGCCCGAGGACATCCAGGGCGAGGCAAGATGACGCAGGGAACCAATCTTGCGCTTCTGCAGGACTGTCTCCTACAAAGACTCGGAGAAGGAGCGCGAAGGGTTTCGACTTTCCCACCCCCACCCCTCGCGGGATTCGAGCTTTTCTTCGCAGGACTTGGAAAGGGCGCCAAGCGACTAACGGCGGAGGGCATTGGATAGACGCCTGGCTGCGAGGCTCCGACACCTGCGGCTCCCACCGGCTCAGCTCAGTTCCTTTTTTTTTTTGGTTTTGTTCTCATGGATTTCTCAGCTTGGCCGTGAGTGATTGGTGTGCGATTCCGGGGTGAGATGTCCTCACCCCACTGGCATCCAGATTATTTGTTCTACATGAGCAGAAGCCACGTGCACAAGTACAGGAAATCTTGCCATCCTGACAATCAACTTCGGATTCGGGGTGTTGGCAGTGTGTGCCTTCCCAGCAATGATGTGACTTCTCACGATAGCGGTCCCTGAGAGGTCCCAAGCGTTGGAAGCGTCTTGGTGCGCAACCCTGTTGCTCTGAGGAAGATGCCTGGCTCCTGGTTCTCTTCGTTTGGACATTGACGCCTCTGTATAGCCCATGTAAAGTTTGAAGCGCATTTCCTTTCCTTGGAGAAATCGCCAGCCATGGGAACCATGCCTGGTGAAGAGCCGAAAGACTCTTTTGTTGCAATGAGTTTTGTACAATTGGCGTAGAAGGATCCCGATCTGCGACAGGGAATTCGAGGGTCCAGCCGACCAGCCGACCAGCCGATCCGCGCGTCTCGCGCGCTGGAAACATGTCTCTTGCTGGGCGTGCAAGCAGAGGCACGGACGCAATTGCCCAAAACTCAGACTTTGACCCTGGTCCTAGTCCCTCGAGGCTTCCGCGCCTGCCGCGCTTCCGGCTGGGACACTTGCGGAGGCACCTGCGGTCACCCCTTGCTTGGACACACCCGGACCTCTGAAAAAGATTGCCGACAGTTCTTGGCCTTCGATAGAACGACAAGACTGCCCAGGCAAGCTGACCGGCATAGTTGGCCGTACCTCACATGCGGCAAATGCCGTGATAAAGTTTGTAAACAGGTGGTGGATGTGGGCTGTTTGCCCTCACGGCTGTGCGCAGCAGCTGCTTCGTTGCAGGAGGCGGGCTCAAAAGTGCCGACTGTCGTGGCAGAAGTCTGAGGCTACAAATTCGCGCCACCGCCCAGCCCGAATTTGGTTGCGTTGTGCGGCACTTTCTTCTCTTGATGTGACTGTCGGTTAGACCAATCACTACTACAGTGTACAATGATTCCCGACCGAGGCGGAAGATTCTCACCGAACGACTTGTGCCGGTACATTTTTACTTGAGGACCTGCATCGTCTGGTACTTCAGGGGTTTCAGCGGACCGGACCTCCTTGCAGCCATAGCAGGAACAATCTGACATTCTGCAACTATGCCGCCAGCTCAGAGTATTCACGGACCTGACTCTGGTCATGCTTACAAGCAATGTCGCTGCGAAATCTCGCCCATCCTTCACTTACTGAATGTACGACCAGCTAAACACCGGGAGAGTTTCTGTCTGCACATAAGATCAGTGCTGTAAGGTAGCCTAAGACTAGGCCTGAGATGGTGGCACACGACATGGCTCTAAAGTCCCCGACTCACAGTTTGAGTTCTCATTTTCCCGGTTCTTTGTATTTCCGAGGTCTGGGACATGCACTTCATTGGCATATGTTGTTCTCCGAAGTTTGAGGGCAAAAGTCACAAGGACAGGGCTGGGGCATGCTTGGAGAAATTTTCGCCGCAAGCTTATCGTTGTGTTAGGAGATTAACAAGATGGTGGAAGATATTTGCGCCGAGGCATTCCATTTGTTGGTCAATGTGGCTTGAGCACATCAGGAGGGACAGAGGCACAGAGAGAGAGAGAGAGAGAGCACTCCCCCAGCTCTCCCCACCTGGTAGAGAGAGAGAGAGAGAGAGAGAGAGGGACAGAGGTAGAGAGAGAGAGGGACAGAGGGAGCAGTTGAGGAGCTGCCACAGTGCCTGGTTTCTTGTACAATACCCACACGAAGGCAACCAGTGAGACAGAGAGAGAGAGAGTGGTTCTCCTCTTGCCCCTAGCCCTGCCGAAAGAAAAGAGAGAGCACGGTGGCGGGGGGTTCTCCCTCCACCACCCTAGCTTTGGCGAAAGAAGAGAGCGGGAGAGAGAAAGGAAGAGAGGCAGCGGGGTGAGGAAGAGGAGTGATCGAGTGTGGCAGGTCTGTCAGTGCTCGATAAACCAGAGTGCGGACATGTGCACACAGAACCAAGAAGAAGCAGACCAATAAGAAGAAGCAGAAGAAGAATAAGCAGAGGAAGACGAGGTGTCTTCACAGCGGTGCATTGTTTCATCATCGCAGGGCGGATCTCGTGGCATAGAGTCCAACCTGCATCGCAAAGCAAAGGTTTGCTTGTGACTGCCATGCAGGTTGTGTGTATTGGGTTTGGTTATGTACATGTACGGTGGCCTCGCAGCGGCGTTCTGATAGAAGCAGGCACGTTAGGACATGCCTAAGGTCTTTAGAGCTGTGATCTCTTGTGCGCTTCGGCATTTTCTGTCAAGCTTCAGTGTGTTCGTTCAGCATATCCGTCGAAGGTTGGGATGCAAGGCCGAGTGAGAATAATATGCCTTGGCCTAAGCTGTTATGAAACCCAGTCGCTCCTGCCACTTCGGCTTTGCACAGCTCTTTGCATGGCGGTGGACACTTTCAGAGATTCCAGGCCAGCCTCCTTCGAGATGGCACATGATGCGGCGGCGAACTCGCAGAAGGTGGGACTTCGACTGGTAAGGCCGGCCCAACACAAAAGAAGCGCCCGGCTCCATCAGCACCAGGGTTTCTTCTAAAGGATTACGCATCTCACCGGACTGTCTTTCTACCTGAGCCAGCATCCTCGCTCTTGGTTGGCTCAAGTCGTTTCCCGGCCCGTGACGTTTCCCAGACCCAGCTGCTGCCTGAGCTCTTGTCCGGGTCCGGGCGGTGGTACCCCGCTTGTTCACGCTGCACTGTGACATCGGTGACTGAGGTGTGAGATCAGATTAAGACAATGATGCTACTTGGATGCATCCGGGCGATGTGCATGCGGAAGATGTCTAAGCCAGCCTCCCCGAGGCAGTGCGACCCATCCTCTGCTTTCTTCGGGACGCTTGGTGTGAGATTTGACTTTCTGAGACTTTCTGGCCCTGGTGTTCCTTCGCCGGCACTCCAATGCCAAGGTTCATGGGAGTCACGTCGGCCTTAGTGTTCGCCAACCTGGGAGCAGCCTACGGCACGGCGAAGTCAGGCCCGGCTTTCTCAAAACGAGGATGTGCGGCAAACTATCAGCACTGCAAGGCGTCGGCATCGCATCAATGGGCGTCGGGGCCCGATGCGCTGGCGCAGGGTACCGGGGTCGACGACTTGGCCGCTGGTAGTGCTTGGGGCACCCGAGGTGATGCGCCCAGACATGATCATGAAGCGCCTTGGCTCGGAAACGTCGTCCTGTGGTTTTCCACAGCAAGAGCCGACCCAGGTCCATCATTCCCGTTGTTATGGCGCGGAGCTCAAAATCCCATAGTGCAGGACCTTCCATGCATCAAAGTTTACTCAGGCGGGAGTCCTTGGCATCTACGGCCTCATCACAGCGGCGCAACCCCGAGCTTGGCCGACCCGGTTTTTGTAACACAGAGTTGCTGAAACCCTGCAAGGTCATCATCAATGGCAAGATGGATGCCGCGAACTACTCGGCCTACTCCGGCTATGCCCACCTTGGCGCAGGCACAGTGCAGTCCCTGTATCTACAGTCGTAAGCTGCTCCCTTACTGAGGCCTGACTGTGGGCATGAGCTCCCTAGCAGCAGGACGTCGGATTTTGGCGGGCAGGCGTTTAGCGGGTCTTCAGGGTGAGGGAGTGACTTCGGCGAGGACTTGCCATCGGCATTGTTGGGGATGCCGGCGTTCGAGCCAATGCCCAGCAGCCTCGGCTCTTTGTCGGCATGATCCTCATCTTGATCTTCGCCGAGGCACCGGCGTACCCTTTGCTTTGAGGATGCGCATTGCAAGAAACAAGAGACGCCGTATCCGTGCGGCTTGGCATACGAATCTCAATCTCCAGCTTGACTCGAGGCACTTGGGCTGTACGGCCTGATCGTTGGTCTGGTTGTGGCCTCCACGGCGGAAGGCAAAGGCTCGACACTTACACCTTGGGTGCCTTTGGGTGTTGGAGACATGCGGAGCTAGATATGCAGAATATTTGAAAACAGACATACAAAACATAAACAGATATGTAAACACGGAATGATACGCATACATGTAAATACAAACACAGATATAAGGATAAAGATAAACGAAAAATCATGCACATGTAAATGTAGATGTAGATGGATATGTGTGCGTCTGCCTGTATGACACCTAGGCAAGGGCCTTTGCAGCCCATATGCCTGGGCCCGATCTGACAAGCTGACAACTGACATTCTCATTGTAATCTCGAGAAAGCCTCGTAGTGAACCCTTCAGCCTGAGCGAGGCCTGAGACCAGAAGTGACTGAGCTTGCATGCTAGTGGCTGCTTTAGGCTTGATTCTTGGAGTTGTGGAGAGATTTTGTTAGCTCTCCCTGCGTTGTGCAGTGCTCATTGGCCTGGGCGGCTGAACAGCTGTGACTTCCACCTGTTCCCATGTTATTGCCTCTTATGCTAGGTCAGCGTTGTGGAACCACAGTGACGAATCCGTTGCTCATCCGAGAAAAGAAGTGGAAGCATTGAGTGGTGACTCCATGGCATCTTGGGTCTTAAAGAAGGATAGATCGACAAGCATCGCGCGTGAGCAGGCTGCTCAAGTTTTGCATAGGAGATTGACAATTTCGCTAGGATCATGCATGCTCCCTGTCCCGCTCGATCCTCAGGTGATATGAATGTGTCACGCGACGGACGGAAGCAATAGTTATCCTGCACTGCTGTCCGAAGCTTTTCCATCAGGCTCTGAAGAACCTTTGCCGATGGTGATGCGATAGTTGCTGGCAGCTCAGTTTTGATGCAGAAGCTCGGTGTAACAGCAAAAAAGGGTGGTACAGCACTTGCGCAGCCATGTCTCGCATGAGAAGAAAAGCTGTGCACGTTGGATGCCTGGCTCCAAGCTGCAGACTGTGAGACATGGAGACGCCCATGCAAGATCACGACTTCATTCTGGAAGCGAGCCATCGTCAGTGCGTGGAGCCCTGTCTCAGCAACTTTCCTTTGAGATGACTTGACGTTTTTGCTCGTTGGGATGAGATAATTTCGAAATCTGTGTTGCAGGAGGAGCTTTTTGACGATTACGCCGATGACTTCGATCGGCATCTGGGAGCCCTTCGCTATGATATTCCGAGCTGTTTGCTGGCCATGCTGCCTATGGCCAAATTCAACCGCTGCATTGATCTGGGATGCGGCACGGGCCTGGCGGGTGCCCGTGTGCGCGCTCGCTGCACTCTGCTAGAGGGGGTCGACCTTCCCCTAAAGATCCCTGAAGCCCTGGAGCCTACAACCTGAAGCCGCACTGCCTAAGATGCTAGACCCTGAAGGTCGACCTCTCACAGTGCATGATTGAAAAGGCCCGGGAGAAGGAGATCTACGATGACCTTCACTGTCGGGATTTGGTGGCCCATCTACGCCGACAGGCTGACAGCACTTGCGATCTGATCATTGCCACGGATGTGGTCATGTATCTCTACTCGATTGCACCCTTCATCGCAGAGGCAGAGCGGGTGCTGTCAGCTGGTGGCATTCTGGCCTTTTCTACTGAATCTGCCTCCGAAGATGAAGCGCCGACTGGCGTCGTTGAAAGAGCAAGCGAGCGCTTTGCTCACACACGGAAGCTTATTTTGGAGCTTGCAGCCCACTTCACCGCGGAAGAAGTGAAGGAAGTGGATGTCCGGCTCGATGGTTCTGCAGGTCCCATCAAAGGAACCTGAAGCCGAACTTCAGCACACCATCTCTCAAGCGTAATCGCTTTCCCCTTGTACTAAATCCCGCTTCAAGAATAGAATTTTCCAAGGGAGGGTGGTTGGGAAGTGCACCCGCAGAACCAAAAACCCTAACCTGCCCAAGCAAATCCCGATGCTCTAAGCCTTAAGCCCTGAGCCGGCACCTTAAACCTTGAAATTTAAACCTAAACCCTGTAATTTCCTGGAATTTTGATCCCATCTATCTGTCGGGCGGGTGGGGTTGGGGTAAGTGTGACAAGTGACTATTGTATATATGGTTGCGCCCCAGCAAGGCCCCCCCCTCCCTCTCCCCCCCTACCCCCCTTCCCCGCCCCCTTCCCCCCCGCCCCTGGTTCAGTTTAGAAACAAAAAAATAGGCATAACGATACAAGTCTCCCCCCTCCCTCCGTGTGGAACGGGACATCCTTCCTTCTCCTGCTGCTCTGGTTTAGTTTATATACAACTATATAGGCATAACGATAAAGGTTTTCCCCCCTCCTCCCCTTTGTGGAACGGGACATCCTTCCTTCTCCTGCAGCCACATGTTTCCCCCCTCCCCCCCTGTGGAACGGGACATCCTTCCTTACAATTATATAGGCATATCGAGAATTTTTTCCCCCTCCCCCCTGTGGAGCGGGACATCTTTCCTTCTGCTGCAGCCACATGTTTCCCCCCTTCCCCCCTGTTGAACCGGACATCCTTCCTTCTCCTGTGGCCTTGGTTCAGTTTATATACAATTATATA